TCCATCAACGCGGGGTCCATTACGGCGGGCCGCGCTCCCACAGATACATCACGGCAGCAGACATTTCCTCTTCCTCCGCTCACACTTGGCCTTTTATTAGACAGAAGCCCAGGTAATGCACATGCTCTAAAAATAGTCATCATCGTGCCGTCTCACTGAATTACACACGGGTTTGTTTGGCTGTTCCGAGAATGTGAGCCTTCGCGGTCCATTCATGTGATGTATTAGAGTTCAGTGGCTCATATTTCACCACAGATTACACCAGCCACTCTCTTCCTGCTCGGCCAATCACACCCCTGATTGGGTTCCTCTGCACCGTGTGGCAGAGCTTTAATGCTGAAGGAGAAAAAAAAAGGAAAAACAAATTGATGTCCGAGGATGTAATGACTCACAGAACCCCCCCGCACCCCCTCCCCTGTACCCGCCTGGGTTCTTAATTAGAGACCTGTGCTGTGGCTTCATGTTTTCTTCATACCAAGCACTTTTGTGTGTAACTTTTCTGCTTTCATGGCCCTCTCATCATCTCCTCATCGCTGCTGCATGGCCATTCAGGGGTGCATTAAAGAGATATATGGACCCTTACAAGTCCATTAGGATGAAGATGTGCCCCGGTCGCTGCGTTGTTTCCCCCGACCACAGACTCCATTATCTGTTGTCTCTCTGTGTGTTTGCGTGCAGCTCGTTGCTGGAGCAGAAGGAGGATTTACGGAAGAGGCTTTCCTACACCACCCACAAGCTGGAGCTGCTGCAGGGAGAGTTCGACTCCACGCGGCAGTACCTGGAGACAGAGCTGCGCAGGGCACAGGAGGAGTTGGACAAGTTTACTGATAAACTGCGCAGGTGGGACGAAAAAATACCCAGCAACCCATGTTAACAAGACATGGATCACTGGCATTTTTACACAGTAAAAAAGGGTCAGAAACAGACGGTATATAAAGGACCTGAGGGTTGTTTTTGAAGCCATACGCAGTACCACTTCTTCTGAGGGTTGAAGCCATTTTGAAGCCATACGCAGTACCACTTCTGACCAGCAGGGCTGCTTTTAAGTTAATTAAGTTTTACCACAATTTATTTTTTGCTCCTTCTCTCACCACACTGTGAGAGAGTGTCTTAATCAAGTCATATTTTTGTCAACATTTTTCTTTAGTCTTCTCGACCTCTGTTTCCTCGGCAACAGGAGGGCGGGGAGGCGAGAGTGGTGGATTAACTGCTGGCTCCAAAAATTGCTAAAACGGTTACTTACTGATCTGCAAATTTAAGACTTGCTATAAAAACAGCAGCAGCAGGTGGGCAGCGGCGGCATTAATGGCCTGGAATATTTGACGAGTCGTTAGAACTGAGTGACTGTCATTTCTAAAAATGTAAGTTTGGACCCAGAGTTGGTGCCGATAGTTCTTCCTGGTCAGCACATGGAAAATGTCAGATTTTCCTGAAACTACACCTTTAAACGTCACAGGGTTCTTCAAGACAAAGACGCCCAAACTGACTGGACTAGTCCAGACTAGATTAGATTAGATTATTGATTGAAGTCCCCAGTGTTGCAACCCACACTGGCCGCTGCCACAGGGGAGGTGCCATTAGGTTCTAATGTGTGGTTCATCTGGGACTCGAACCCAGGACCATTAGATTAGATTGAACTTTGTCGATTCCAGACACTGGGGAAATTGTTGTGTTCCAACAACAAGGTGACGGAGGAAAAAAATTAAAAATGTTAAAGAAAGTGATGATAGAAAATACAGGAAAATACAGGAAGGAGATTTTTTTTTATAATGTACTAAAAAAAAAAGAAGTAAAAAATCTCTACTCCTGCTCAACTGACTGTGGTTTTACTACAATACATCCAGACACACGTTTTACAGCTGGGGGAAAAAACCCTGCCTGTGGATCACAAAAAATAATAATTCAATAAAACACCCTGTAAAATCAGGCTGTCAGTGGTTGGAGGTGAGTGAGACGTGAAATAAAGAAAGATTCCCTCTCCTGCCATAAAACAGAATGAAGCGTACTTGTGTCTATACTGCTGAGCCGGCTGCTTTTAATCTGGGCTCCATCTCCCACTGTTACACTTTATACCCCGTCTATGCAGAGTTTGTGTGTGAACAGGCTGTTATCTGTGGCTGAGCGCTGTCACTTTGTTGTGTTGTTCAGAATACAGAGCAGCTACTCGGCTCTGCAGAGGATCAACCAAGATCTGGAGGAGAAGATCCACCGGAACGTGAGTGTCTCAGCCCTTACTGTGTCTCTGTGTGTGTCTCTGTGTGTGTGTGTGTGCATGGAACATCCATCCATCCAACAAGTTGCCAGTCAACGAGTTTTCAATCAACAAAAACCGCCTTGTCTGTTTTTGGACAGTTTGGAGTCGTGTCAGTGTCAGTGTGTTGGTCGTAATAGTTCATGTCAGGTGAACGGGCAAAGGAAAGTATTTTGTCATGCAAACGACACACACAAAAGTGTGTGTGTGTTTTTGTGTGTGTGTCGTTGAAGTAGACAGAAAAATAAAGAGAAGCCTGCAGCCTCTGGTGCAGCGATGGTAGGGAGTGTTTGAAGAGCCCATTTGAATATGAATGCCCTGCTGCTGGTACCACTGACGTTAATTATGGCTTATTACAATTGGCTGTCCTCCTCCCAATGGCAGAGTGATAGCAAACCCTTTGTTGCACAGTGCACCGCAACCTCACTTCATTTGTCAGGCGTTGCATTCGCCAGCGGAGAGATACAATTAAGCAGACTGCCCGAGGACACGGCGTGAGCGTCAGGTGTCGGTGCAGATGAATAGACGGCTAAAAACGCTCACGAGAGCAGGGCTGTGGACAACGTGAGGGACCCAGGTACAGATGATAAGGAGCCAAAGGTCAGGCACACAACTAGGAGAGTAAAAATGGTCATTTTTCATTTTCCCAACAACGACCAACAGGTGTTTCATAATAGAGTGTTCCTCATTTGCCGTTATTGATTCAACGCACGTATTCCTCCCTCAAGGGTGAGAGAGGTGCTGAGTAAGTGTCTTTGTAAAGCTTGTTTACTCCAGAGGTGGCACAGACCCATGTGACCTCTCGGCCCTGCACGGCTACACAGAATGCAATTACAAGGCCGATAAACGCGGTGATGTACTTTCACTGTCACTGCTGCTGGTCGCACGCTTTCACTTCCAAGAAACTCGAGGGAAAAAAAACAAACAAACAAACAATCAAAGGTCTACACACAAGATCATGTATGTCTCCAGACATGTTGAACACCATGACATAAAGTCACACATACAGAACCGTGAACCCAGGGAACGCAGGTGAGATTCAGCCTTTCCTGCAGTATTTTATCCACTGGATCTCGTGAAAAATTAAACTGAAAATGTCGAATCAAACCATGGAATTTTCAGGAAATAAAACTCAGATGTCGAAAATCACGTCCAAATTCCCTCTCTTTTCCATAGACTTGTATGTAATCTGTGTGACTTCCCAAGTCTGCATAGAATTCTGATCAAATCTTCGCTGCAGCTGTAATGATGTCACACCAGTGGTGCCTTGGTTATGAATGGAGCCGACGACCACTTCATGGTTTTGGTGGCTTTTATTTAAGAATTTCAGGACGGTTACATCAGCAGTAAAATGTCCCACATTTCTTGTCTCTTTCTACTGGATGATGATGAGTATTTAAGTCAGTGTTTGTTTCAGCTTTACCCTGTTCTTATTTAGCAAACAGTGTCTGTGTCAGCTTTACCCTGTTCTTATTTAGCAAATGTTCTGTGGTCGGTTTAAAGTTTCAAACAAAATGTTTTGCCTTAAAAGGGTGACAATTAAATGTAAAAGATGAATGTCCCACATCAATTACTGTAAATGTAAAAGATGAATGTCCCACATCAGATGGCACATGTGGGTAAGAAGACGTAAACATCCCATTTTTCTTTCAACTTCCATCGTCTCCTCAGTCACAGCACCACGATGACGAGAAGCGAGCTTTGAGCAGAGAGATCATCGTCCTCAACAACCGTCTGATGGAGGCCAAGCTCACCATCGAGAAGCTGCAGGAGGACAATGTGAGTTTACAAGAACATTTCCATCGTGTAACTCAATGTATGGAATGGGATTAAGTTTTAAAAACAATTTGCAGTTTTGAATAATCTGATTCAGTTTTCCGTCTCTAAACAGCCGTGTGAGTTTTGACAGATTGAACTGAAGATTGTTTCGTCTCCTCTGCTCTCACTGTCTCCACAGGAACTCTACAGAAAGGACTGTAATCTGGCTGCTCAGCTCCTCCAGTGCAACAAGTCTCTGTACAGAGCCGAGCTCTCAGAGGTGAGAGGCTTCCTGACTTCTGTCTGTTCTACATCTTCATTTAAACCATCTTTAAACTTGAAACCGTGGCACCTCAGCTTCTCTAACCTGTTTTGGTTTTTCTTCTTTTATCATATTCATGGTTCAGTTTTATCCATATCAGTTGAAGTTTAAAAAAAACACCGCCACCTTACAAAGGTCACATCTACAGAGTCTAAGAACGAGCGACGCTTCGGGCGATTCTCCCTGACATTTGATGCAAACCTACAAAATAACATCCGGAAAAAAAAAAAAAAAACATTTTTCACCGCTGTGAAAATCTAGACTGGAGAAAATTAATGTTTTTTGAAATAGCTCTGGGGCTAAAAAAAAAATCTGTGTGAGGTGTTTCCTGAGCAACATTAGGCTGCGAGAAATTTCACCTAGTGATGTAAGATGTGAAAAATAAATAATGACTTATTTGCTGTTGCAGTGAGAAGTAAAGGTCACTTTGTGTTTGTTCCTCTTCTTGTGAATGGCAAAGAATAAGAAGTCTGAATGACATGATCTCAGTGACCTCAGGAGGCACTGAGGTGATCTGTGGAGCTGTACACCTCTGAATATTTTTTTTTGTCCCTCCAACTCTCTGCCCTCTATGTCGGCCTGTAACACAGACACATGTGGGCATTGATGAATGCTACCACTACTTCCTCCGTCAGCCCCTGGGCTACGCACCTCCTCCATGTGACAGCAGTGGATTGTAAAGCTGACATGTGTCCACAAGGTTAAAACACGGCCCCCACGACCTCCACCCTCTCAGAACGTACTCATGTAGCTGAATGGAAATATCAATTCAAACCACAGTTGGTTGCATAAGAGCCATAAACCGTGCACAACACGCACAGACTGTTCTGCTCTGCCTAATGTACCCAGGGTCATGTGACCGTGTGTGTGTGTGTATGTACATATATGCACTCCTTGTGCTGTATGTCCACCAGGCTGCCGGTCCTGTGGGTGGAGGCTAATCGAAGGCATATTGATGAATGGTTCTGCAGCAGTTTTTTGAGGAGCGCGCCCGCTCTTCGACGCCCACCGAGGCTCTCAACTCCTTTGTTTTGTTGCAAAAACAAGCACAGAGAGTGTTTTTAATTTGTTCCTCTCTTTCATAATGCCGTGTACATGCTCGCTGTGATCCTGTTTAAAAAAAAAAAAAAAGTGGACAGTAATTAAAGGGCCATTAAGTTTGGGTCCAAGTTGCAGTGTTATGATAGAATGTATTTGCATGCCGTCTGTGTTAAAGTTATAATTATCTTGGGTCTCGTTGCCAATTAGTAGCAACTGTAGATCCTCGCTGATGAGGTGCTGCAGTTGGCTTACGCTTGTTGCTATGGAGAAGCACTGATAGTGGGTATAGTTTTTTTTTTCTTTTTTTATTGAGAAATGCTCAGAATAGAACAATGTCATCTTTTTGACAAGGGAGGTGACTCAGTTCTTCATTCTCACGATTATTTTTCTTCTTTGTTAAGAATCTTTTCCCTAAAAACTATTTTCTACCGTCCTCCCAACCACAGACAGGTGTGGGGTGGTGTCATCAATCATCTGTATATTAGTATGTGACACGCTGACACGTATATTGTTAATACAACGAAATACTGCAAGTGGATTCAGACTGAGCGTCACCCTAACTTTCCTCAGGCTCCTCCTCCTCACATACTCTTCTACCACTGAAGAGCTACAGTACATTCACATTTATGCATTTAGCAGATGCTTTTATTTACTAAGTGACTTACAAGAGGAGGATTAACAATCACCCAAGTATGTGGTTCCTCTGGGAATCGAACCCAGGACTCTCTGCTCTCTGCTTCTGAGGCAGGCGTGCTTCACTGTGAAACTGACATGCTTCCATCATTTTCAAACCTATACACATGTGAGCCATTTGAATACAAATGTGTGCAAAATGGGAATATTCTAAGGTTAAGCAGTGACATTTCTTTTCCTGCTCTTTCTCTTCTTTAACATTCCAGCTGCCTGCTGACTTACAGGAGCGACTGACCATGCATATGGAGGAATCTCCTCTCTGTCACGCCTTTCCAGACTCTCTTATTGCCAATGTGCTCGAAAAACAAGACGATGCCTGCAGCAGCAGTCAGGCTTCCCGCTCCCCAAGCCCCCAGGCCCAGGACCATGCTTTTATCTTGGAGACCTTGGCTGCAGGTGAACGCCTAGGTCTGCGGGCAGCTTACAAATCTGACTTGTACGCCAGTGACACGGCCCTGTACTGCCCCGACGACCGGCACCGTGAGCGAAGGCCTAGTATGGACCTTCATGGTCAGAGGAAGCTGCTGTATGGACCCCAGAACTCCACCGACAGCACTCCAGAGGAGGGGTCACTTGGTTTGAGGGCTGGCTTCTCCCAGGAGCACTTTGCCAAGTTCCCACCTGCACTCGATGTAGGATCCAGCTCCTACTCCAGTTTCAGCGGAGCGGGTTCTGAGGACAAGGGGAACGGGCCTCCCAGCAGCGTAGCCTCGTCCCCTCACCATCATTCTCTCTACATGGAGTGGAGGGATGCAGGAGACTATGAGAGGAAGAGTGACTCATCCTGGGAGAGGGACAGTCCAAGGGTATTTGCCAATGCTCATCCATTCCAGCAGGCGGAGCTGGGCCACCACCAGAACGGAAGCTCGCCGGTCTACAGCCGAACCATGTCGTCCTGTTTCAGTGAGCCCTATGAGCCACTGCCGCCGTCCTCATCACCAAGCGTGGCCTACGGAGACAGCCGTCGAGGCAGCACGTTGGCCCCCGAGGAGGAAGAACTGATAAGTCGATGGAGACAACTCAGTGTGGAGGATCTGAGTGCCCACAACTTCCGTAGTCCCGGTCGGGCTTCACCGTACAGCTTCTCTGAGCAGCACTTCTCCGTTAGGCCTGCTAAGATCCGACTCGGTCCGGTCTACAGCAGCTTCCAGGAGGGAGCCGACTATTATCACCATCACGGAGTGGCAGCCATGGACCCAGTGTGGGTGGCTGCCAGTCCCAGCCCAGAATGCAGCCCAGGGATGCGTCAAGCACACAGCCAAGCCCACCTTTACCGAGGGGAGGACAGCCAGGAGTCGGAGCACAGCCTCTACCACTCAGGAAGCTCCAAAGACAGAGAAGGAAACTTGGCAGCTGGAGGTCAGGGCACGGACTACGTGGACCCCAGCCCCAACAGCTCCACCGAGTCCCTTCACCAGAGGTCCTTGGAGATGGCTGCTGAGCTGCAGCATTACCAGGTGGAGATGCACAGCCTGCCTGCACAGGCCAGCCAGTCGCCGCCCCCGGCCCCACCACCTCCTCCTCCCTACAACCAAAAATTTGGCTCCTTGGGACTCACCAGGAAGGACAGTCTGACCAAGGCCCAGCTTTATGGAACTCTTTTGAACTGAACGACCTTCCGATCATGTTTCGTCTTTGAACCGATGTTAGGGATGAAAGAGCCCTGGTGCGACCAGCTGCACCTTCTGTGAGCACGGTCCAATCTGGCAGGAAAATGCTTGAATATAAGCCAGGAGTGAAATTATTCAGCATCATGAACCTGTGACTAGAGCAGAGGATTTTTAAAGAGGTTGGCAGCAGTTCACACTACAATCAGTCAGAGAAAGTCATGTGAAGAGTTGTACGTAAGGCGAAGGAGCTCCAGCAGCCCTTAAATTTGTATTGTATTTACCTTCGTAATGTATTATTATATACTTGTAACTACAAATTTGCGTGATATATTTTGTATGTGACTGTTGACAAGAATTTCACCCAAAAACAATCCCGAAAACTAAATAATCCTGGAACTTGTATATAAATTTACAACTGCCAATTATATATTTGGAAACTCAGAGGTCGTATAAAAAAAGTGAATACATATATACGTGTGTATACATGAGTGTATTCACATATACACATTATATATGTGTATATACGTATATGTATATACATGTATAGAAGTGAAAGTGTGAACAGATGAGTTTCAGTCGTGACTTTTAAATCGATCGAGAACGTGACGATTCGTATGGAATGTGAAATTTAATCATAAGGGAGAATGTGAAACAGTTACTGGCGTGAAAGACAAACATACACTTTGTTTCTTCTTCTGTTGATGGAATTTAATCAGTATTGGTGGGTGTGCTCTATTATTATTGATGGAACGTATTGAGGTCTGTCTAAACAGTCAGTAATACTTCATTTATTATATTCCAAATATCCCACTGCTAGGTTTTTCTTCCCTGTCCCCGTTCTACCTCAGATTTTGATGCCCACACCCTGTTTTACCACTGTAACCTTGTTTCTTTGATTACAATGCATGGTTTAAACATTTTTGGTTGTTTTGTTCACTTAATAAAGCACAAACGTGGTTCATGTCTGTATCTGCCAGTCCTGACCAGCGATAGCTGATGAGGATATTCATTTATTTATTTGTCTTTTTTAGCTAAATGGTTCTCAGAGTCGCTTGGGGAGTCATAACATATTGCGGGAGGGGTGCATTCACACTTGCATTCACACCAACAGCGACTGAAGCGTGAACAATGAGCCTAATCCTGCATGTTTTTGTACAGTGTTCAGAAGCTGCTGCACCAGGAAGAAACCCATCATAGGTAAGACCTAACCCCTCTGTGCCCCCCCCCCTAACTTTAGGTCAACAAATTCCAAAATCCTGGATCAGGATTGATGACATTTTAATACATGATGTTTTTATCACAATCCTCTTCATTATAACTTTTTTTTGTTGCTAAAATTAAAAAACAAAACGTGAGCTATTACAGAGGACCATTTGTTTCACAGGCACATGTTTCAATTTTACACATCCAGCCTATTGCTTTGCGCTCTTATTCCAGCACATTTGCTCAGTCAAACTAAATTGACACAGTTAACAGGCACATTATTTCAGTGCATTATTGAATTTATCGCAGATGTGGCAAATGGTCTCCTCACAAGCCATCAGAGTCTCTGTGGGTGCTGGAATTTAATCATCTTTTTTCTTTTCCAAGAACACACACACAAATCCTCTGAAAATCCACACTCGGAACAGGACTGTGCTCAGTCAGTGAGTCCAACCATCCTGCTGCTCATGTCCCACAGCTTCTTGGCAGCCTGTTCATCTGTAGCCTTGGCCATCAGCTCCTCTTCTTTGCAGTTAGCAAAACACTTCCCAGACACCCCCTCCACCTCCGGGGAGCAGGCCAGATAAAGTGGAGTCTGAGCTCCTTCCAGAGGACTCTTAAAAAAGACCATTGACGCCAGGTTGAACAGCGGTTTGGCCAGGAAAGGGATTTGAACGTGCCTTCCCAGTTTGGTCTTGACAATGCCCGGAGTGAGTGCATTGACCGTGACCCCTGTGCCTTCCAGTCGATGTGACAGCTCAAGTGTGAACAGCAGGTTGGCCAGTTTGCTCTGACTGTAGCAGAAGGCCTTGTCGTAGTTATTTTCACTGTTCAGGTCATCAAAGTTGATGTGGCCGTACTTGTACAGCTTGGAGGAGACCACAACGATGCGGCTGGGAGCTGAACTCTTCAGGAGATCTAGGAGGAGGTGAGTGAGGAGGAAGTGACCTAGGTGATTTACACCCAGCTGCATTTCAAAACCTTCCTCTGTTTTCATGTAGGGACACTGGTAGATGCCTGCGTTGTTGACCAGCACATCGATCTTGGCCTCCTCCTAATGGATCAAAAGTTAAAAAAAAAATTCACATTAAGATCAATCTATAAATTAGGAAAATATTAAAAAATAAATAAATAGGTAGAGATAAAACTACAAATGTTTTGGCGATGGGGTCATTATCCAAGATGTTTTCTACTGAACAAGTTTTTATTGTGTTCATGGGAGACACCTACTGGTAGAATGGGGTAACTTAAAATAAAATAAATTTGTTCTATATTGATCCCATATTTGGGAAATTGTTGTGTTAGCAGCAGATATTGTTCAGGTGTCAAAGTTCCTTTAAAAAACACACATGTTTGTTCATCAAACTCAAACTATTTATATAATTTAAGCAGGTTAATTAATAATAATATCAATATTTTTTCTGTCACAATAGGTGTTTATTTATACGATTGAAGACAATGTACGGTAAAATCATGACATCTGTGATGCAATTCTAATTATACAAAATGAACTGACCTTATTAATTTCATCACAAAACCTTCTAACGGACGTGAGTGAAGCCAGGTCCAGGTGTTTGATCACCATCTCTCCCTGCTCTGGACCCGCCAGACCCTGAATTTCCTTGACCGCCTCTTCTGCGCTCTTTTGGTCCCTACATGCCATGATGACCCGCGCCTGGAGCTTCACCAACTCCCCGGTCAGCGCTTTCCCTATCCCGCTGTTTGCCCCGGTCACAATGATCGTCTTTCCTCGCATAGTGTCACTTGCGTACTGGAGCAACTGCATTGTTTTCTGGGCAGGAAACAAACGGCGCATAAGAAAGTAAACTCCTCCACCGACGACAGCAGCAACCAGCACCGCTGTAGCCATGAACGATGACCGCAGACACGGGTTAGCAGGAGCCGGTGACAACGTTTTTGGGGGTAAGGAGTTCAATGAATGTTACAGAGAAATATGTCAACAATCCTTACGACCCGGACGTGATTGTGGTACAGCGTAGTCCAGCTTAACAGTATTTTAAAAACATTTTTTAATAATTTTCTTCAACGTGGCATTTTGTTATTATTCAAGAACTGTACTGATAATGTATTTAAATATACAAAAAAATAATTTTAAAATTTACAATTTCACAGCGATATTTTTTTTAAAATTTACAATTTCACAGCGATATAGCAACATTTCAGTTAATATTAGCAAGCTGAGTTTAACTTGGCGTCAAGAAGTGCTTCCGGTGCATTTTCGTAACTTGATATGAATGATAACGGTATATTTCATGCTATATAAATGTACTCAGGCTTTAATACGTCTACGTACACCTAAACTTGTTGATTAAAATACCAGCGGGAATTATCGGCCAATAAATAAATAATAAATAAAAGATCTACTAATAATGTCGAATATTTGTAAACAAAACAAAAATAATACTCTTATTTCTTATTATTATTCGGAGTGAGTCAAACTAGTTTTGAACAAAATTGTTTATTTATGTTAAAATTAGCATTTGTGAAATGTATATTGACAAATACATTTAAATATAATCCGTACATTGACTTGCATTACATCTCTTTTCTATTTTTATGTTACATGTATTGCCCACAAGAGGGGGCCAAATAAAAACAGACGTGAGACCGAAAGTTGAAAAACGTTCTATTTAAAAAAATACCAATTATTTGATACGGATATTAAATATTGTAAATCCTGATTATTATTTAAAAAGAAAAATCTTTCAACCTCAAACTGTGTTTTTATCAGTAGTGCGTAATAACAACTAGAACAATGCTTATTGTCTTTTTCTTTTCCTAGTTCTTATTTGGTCTTTATTGCTTTATCTTTATCATATTTGTCTCAGGGTGAACATTTAATGTCACTCTGCCTGTAATACCGTGATTCACAGTATTGAAGTCATTAATTATTTACGATTCTAGACCTGCTTCTTTGAACAGATTCATCACAGTTGGCACGTTACTCAACTTCCTCTTTCCTCAAAGTGTCTCCAGTTTGGTAAGACCTCCCATGTTATTTCTGGGTTTGCTGTAGTTCCCGTTATTTGAAGAGACACAATGTTACAGTCCAGCAGAGGATACAGACTGTCTCCGCAGGCATGTGATTGTATTTCAATAGTTTTACTATAGAGACTTTTAACATTTGCTCCTCTTTAAATGTTGATTAAATGGTCACTTCTGCAAGCTCTACTTGTCGCTAAGAAGACATGTATGTCCTGAGGGTCACGTGTCTTTTCATTTTGATCATCTCTGCTTTTAAAGGTAAGTTATACTTTCATATTTACATGGAAATGTAATAGCATTGTAGACACATAGGATATATATATATAAAAACGATTTGATTGGTATTCGTTTTGTTTCTGTTTCATAATGCTGTACAGTGTTCAGTTGAGTTGTAGACAATAAAAAAAACTGAAGTATGTTTAAAAGGACCAACGGTCAACTTTATTGACAAAACATTTGGTAGAATTTTTTTGGTCAGATTATGTTCGTGAAAACCACCTCATACTGTTCTTTATAATAGAGTTGCCTGTCATTCTTATATAATTTACAATATACAACAGTTTAATAAAAAACAGTTTGCATATGTTGTACTACAGACGTGATTTAAAATCCACGTGATCTCAATCTATAAAAGTATAAAACAGGATGTCTTCTCTAGGGAGTAAAATTCTTCAACTTCTTCTTTGACCCATTTCTAGTAAAATGCAGAAAAAAACTGTTCTGATAATTGTGTTGCCAATGGCGGCAACATAAACAACTGACAAACACCGCAGCTTTGTGCTGCTGAGTGCATGTGAGAAAAACGATCTGCGTCCATCACTTAGAAATCTGACCTCGTATTCCCACACACGGGCTGTAATTATAGAGAAAATCAGGCCAGGAGTGGTTTCCAGGAATCATGTGGCTTCGTGTGAAGTGAAGATAAGATAAATAGTTGAAATTGAAAGAGTTGAAATAATGGAGTTGATGGCCATTAAAATAAAAGTAGGATTAACGTTTCACTTTAGTGTTTTCTTAACCAACACAGGTGTATTTGCTTGTATGACTACCAACAATACAATTACTACTAATAATGATGATTATAATAGTAATACTAATACTATTTTATATCCTGCATTTCATTATTTTTCTTCCTCATCTCATTTCTGTATTGCTTTGGTGCAAAGTATTTGTAGATGGAAGTCTTGTACCATCTGTATATTTGAAATTATTATTATTATTATTAGTAGTAGTAGTAGTATAGTATTAGTATTATTATTGTTGTTGTAATGATAATAATAATACAATAGAGGACAAAGTCCATTCAATAATCAGTACCAGACAGCAGTAGAATGTAGTTCACATTTTAACAACTTTAAACATCATTCCTTGCAGGTCAGCACGTTGACAACTCCTGCTGGGTTTCCCCCAGAGATCATTACATTGAAGTGGGATCTGATACAGAGATAGTGTGTCAGACGTCATGTGTCTCCGACAGAGTCTTTTGGACGCTGAACAACATACGCATGGACGACAGTCTGTCCAACACCGTCAACTCCTCACACACCGTGCTGTCGCTGAGGAACTTCACACTGCAAAGTGCTACGCTGGAGTGCCACGAGGCACACCTTCAGCAAGTTCTAGCAGGAACCATTGTCACAACATACAGTAAGATGTCTCTGCTGGAGTCACAATTGAATATCTTAGATATGTTTTAATATTATATGAAAATAACAGAAGAATATTTTTTTAACAAGACCTACGGCAACTTCTTCTTTCTTCTTCTCGAATCACTTTAACTACAGGTTTAGCCATCTACCTACTCACAGCAGGGTTGCCAGGGGCAGCATGCAACCTGCTAACATTTAGCATATGGTTAACTTTTTTTCTTACAGCAAAACCCAGCAATATCTCCTGTTTCCTGCACTATGAACCTCAGAGAAGAGATGGAATCCCTCATCTGATCACGTGCAAGTGGGAGCACATGATCACATCTTCTCTTTCGATAAACTACACCGTATAGTGAGTGGTTATTATCTGTCATTTATTTCATTTGTTGCAGGATATTCCTATTAGTATCTGTGCAAAGTGTTTATCAGACAAATCTCTTGCAGTGTCTCCTCAGTGCTCGTAACCCGAGGTGAAATCTGTGTTTCCCGTGAAAAAACCTGCACCACAAACACATCTGGTATAATAGTCATTAACAGGAAGTTCAATGTGACTGTAATAGCTAAGACTACAGCCTGGGAAGCCTACTCTGAGCCTTATGAATTTATTCCCCTTCACATATGTAAGATGCACCAGAAGACAGATGTGAATCATTTTATTATTTATATAAATTCAGTATTTTTTAAATGATGATTCCATGGTTTTATTTTCCAGTGAAAATGCCTCGTCTGAGTGTAAATGTGTTGTCGTTGGCTGATCATTTAAAGATTGAGTGGAATCGCTCTCTCCAGGACAAACCGTGTCACTGTCAAGTCAAGTTCGTCAAGGTACGTCCCTGTGTGGTCAACCAAAGATTAAAAAAAACTGAGGAAAATAAATACTTCTCCAAAGCTGCTTTGTGATTTTTAAACATCACCTATAAACAACTGAGGACTTTTTTGGTCTGTCTTTTTCTCTTTAGATTGTCAGCAGTGGAGAATTTGAGGTGAGAGGCATTGTAATCATCAAAGAGTGAATTATTTAATTCAAAATTAGATCTTCATTTGATTTAAACAATTAGCTGCTTGGATTTGTTTCTTTTCTTCTTCTTTTTTGCCAAAGAAATACATGATTCAAACACAGCTGTGAAGGTTGTAAATGACGACATTTGTCTCCTCAACATGTTGTTATCACACTTGTTATATTGATATTTTGAAGTAAAAACAAAACCCAACATCATCTACAACATCCCTGCAGAATTAATTCCTGAGCCACTGCTGTTTACTGGACATTGATACTTGACCAGAATTCTCCTCTGTGTAACTGTAACTATTGGGTTCTGTTCTCACAGTTTGACTCACTGTTTCCATCTTTATCTTCCTTTTTTCCCAGACTGTGTTCAATGAAACTCTGAACTCTAAAAAGAATGGGCGCATGCTCAAAGAAGTGGAGTCCTGCACCAACTACAACATTGCAGTTCGCTGTGCTTTAGAACATGCTCCCTGGAGTGAGTGGGGCGAGGAGAAGACTGTGCTGACTCAGCTGAATAGTGAGCAACAGTTAAAATAACACTTTTCAAACCAAATACATTAAAATTAATTTAAAAACCTCTCCGGACTTGTGTTCACACACACACACACACACACACATATATATATATATATATATATATTAACTGAGCTGAAGAAAATCAATGACACGATTACTTGATTTTTTTTCCATAATAGAAAACCACATTGAACTGCGTCTGTGGAGAAAAATATCCAAACCTGATGAATATGGAGTCAGAAATGTTCGTGTCATGTGGACGGTGAGTGAGCAAAAGAAAATTTAAAAAATATTTTTATTCTCTCTGCTTACCTCTGGGGAAAAAAGCTGAATTCTTATTTTTTCATCCTAACTGTTCTACTGTCTACACAGGGGATTCCTTCAACCTGCCAAGGCACTTTTTCATACACTTTAAAAAAGGTTTCCTACAGGGAAAACGCATCTGGAGAGAATGTCACTGAATTGCTATGCAGCAACACAACTTGTTCTGTTGATGTCACTGAAGATGCCCACAGCATAAACCTTACTGTCCTCCTGAATGAAGCGGTGCTGGCTGAGGACTCTGTTTACGTTCCAGCCACCACAGAGAGTGAGTGGAAATGTTTGCTTTTTATGGAGCCTTTGACTCCTCTGTCAGTGGAACAGCACTTTTCACTCTGGTGATCTGATTTCACCTTCACTTGGCAGGTCTCCCTGAACCTACTGAAATCCAACCTTCAGCCTCGGACGGTGTCATTTCTGTCAGATGGACGGCTCCTGTTCAGCCCGTCAGTGGCTACATGATCGACTGGACCCAGGATGGAACTCATTTTAACTGGAAGGAGACCAAATACACAAACATGACACTCCGAGGTAAGTCAATGGGTGTTTGACAGACAGAGAGGCCTGGGTAAATACTTGTACATGTTCATTGGAAGAGTGAGTGGTGCAGATGACGGAGTATGAGTCATCACCAGTTCTTATGAAGGCACTGAGCTCGCTCGCTCGGCCGACAGATCGATATGTGTCTTATCTTTGTTAATGGTGCAGGCGTGGCCGATGATGGAGACGATGGTGGAGGGCTGTGCTGTGATGCATTTACCAGAATTATACCCATTAACTCAGACACTTACCTCTCAGTGATCAGAGAACTGTTGCCCATCTCTGTCTCTTCAATTTTTTATTTTCATTTATGAGTTTTTACACCAAAATATTTATCTACCACTATTCCAAACATTAACAGCAGAACAGACCCACATGGTTCAGTTTAGCACAGTATACAAGGAAGACCATTTATTAACATATGATATTAGACCATCATTAGTCAATTCAATTTAACCGTCTGATACTGTTGTCACAATAAAAAAAAAATCCATCACTTTTTTTTCAATTCTTGTTTTTCCTGCAGATCTTCTTGAGAAAAAACAATACAATATCACAGTAACTGCTCTGTTTGAAGACAAGACGGGTCACGGTGCAGAAGCTCCTCAGATCTGCTCATCACTGGGAGGTCGTACGCTCTTCAGCCTTTTACGTTGTGTTTGTACTAGTATTCCCACAAGACCTAAATGAACGTTCTTGGACTCCACAGGTCCTGGTAACATCACCGTCAGTGTGCAAGCCAATCACAGAAGCGCTAATGTGACATGGGTCACCAAATCAGAGGAGAAGTGCAGTGCTCCAATCCTCACCTTCACCATTGTTTACAGTCATCCTAAAGGACCAATGCAGAGTAAGTCGATGGTGAAAGATACCTTCACACACGGGGAAATGGATTTGACTGAGGGTTTCTTCTAGATGTGACTGTGGACAGCACAAACCAGGACGTGGTTTTGGAAGATCTGATTCCTGCCACAGAGTACAGTCTGTACGTGAAGGCAGCGTCTCTGACTGGAACGTCTAGAAGTGGCGAAAGATACTTCAGTACAAAGAGATTTGGTAAGAAGTGTGGTGGAAACTCTTCACTTAGAACAGCTTGAATTTTATAAACCAGGTCCACATCTTTATATTTGGCAGTTGTTGGATTTAAATAATAGTATTAAAGTAATAGAAAATAATACTGAAAACCTTTTGAATTCTACTGTTTAGCTGTAAAATTGCAAAACATGTTATTAATGTAACATTATACTTACTTTTCTATCTTCTCTTTAAGTTTTATTTTGATAAATAAGTGTACATCAATGTAGTGTTATTTATGTTTTAATCAACTGTTTGATCAGGACAGAGGAATTTCCTGTCCTGTACCTTTGCTTTTAAAATATTTTTTCTGAACAAGATCAGTGAACAGAATGTCATGCTCTGATCAACTGTTTTTATAACAGATCCAAGGCTCATCCCTGGACTCATTACTTCCAGTGCCATAATCATTGTTCTTGTGATTATTCTGGGATGGTGCTGCACTGCTCAGTAAGTTTGATTTTTTTGCATAACATAAAAGATACTCCAGTTTTTAATCATATGCAATTGTTTTGTGGCTTCTTTTATAGGTGTAAGAAAAAAGTTCCTGATCCTGCTCTTAGTTCTTTGGCAACGTGGCCCCCTCCTGGTCATCAAAAGGTAAAGTAAACTGGGTGTAATGTCCTATAGCTACCTTCAAATTGAGTAGAGTCAAATTAGATAGATAGATAGATAGCACTTTATTAATCCCTCGGATTAATTCATGTTTTTTTCTGCCACTCCAGGCTTTCAAATTCAACATTCTGTCTCTCTACCCTGTCAGATATTTTTTATTTTGATCTGAAAAAAGCCTAAATATTTTTGTCCTCATAGCAGTAGTATATTTAAAGCTGCAGAAATACTAACATGTTAATAATGATTTTATGTCAATGTGCATAGACGTCACTTCTGTGTTTTCTGGTCTTTACCTGTGTGTTACTGTTTTGTTCCCAGGGGATGTGTCCTTTCCATGACTTCAGTAATTCTAGAAGTTTCTGTGGCAGGGTTTACACGGAGGAAATGCAGATAACCCACAGTCCACCAGCAGCTAGAGACTGCAATGCTAACACATCCAATGAGCAGAGTAACAACCACACAGATCCAACTGTAATTCTCTCCCCAGAGGCACAAAATGGAGAGCCAATAGATTTTCAGGGAACAAAGTGTTTGTGTTTTGGAGAATCCACCGTGTTACTGTCACCGGAGAACAACAAATTCAACCCATATCGAAGTCAGATTAGTGTGGACAGTCCTCCACAAAGGTCATGTAAACACAATAAGCATGCACCTGTAAAACAGCAAGAAAAGTCAGCACCAGTGATGGTGTACGTCACTTTAAATATGTTCAAACAAGGCCAAAGTCGGTGATCAAACTATGAAAAAAAGTTTGGGACGAGAAAACCTTAATGCCAGTGTAAGCTTGCTTAAATTTTATTAAAAAAATATTTTCAAAGATTTTATTCTGAAGTGCAGTGTGTGGTGAAAAGTGTATTGTATCTTTAACTTAAAGGTTATTAGTACAAGTATGTACCATTATATGTGGGGAAATACATGTTACCTGCCCAGTAAAAGAACTAATGTATGCATGCATGTCATTGTTATAGTGCATTATCTGCTACAACGACTACTGTGAGAAGTCTTCAAAATGTATGTCTTGCAGCTGATTTCTCCAGACTGTTTGCCTCTAAATATGCTCAAAACATGCAAGTGCTATTAAACAAGAGCTGCTTCCTAATGAGATACAGTTATTCATCAACTCAATTCATTAAACATGACGAAAACAGACAGGTGCCTGATTCTCAATCCTGTTGTCCACACAGATAAACATGAAGCCATAGTGAAGAGAAAAGTTACAAATGAGAACAGAAATCCTTTGTAACCAACTTTGAATAAGAGTTTGTTTGTTACAAATGCGTTGTGACAAACATCTTTATTAAGGTTTTAAGTTGATGCCTGAAACAAAAACCAGCAAAGATATAAAAAGGTAATTCCACTTTATGGAAGGTTTCTTAAACGACCAACAAACTGGAAATTAAAACCAGAAAACACAATCACAACTGATCGAAGAATATTTTATGTTTTTAAAGGATTTATTTATATTATTGAAATAGTTTTATTGGATTTTTAGATACGGTTCCACTACATGGGTTTCGATCAGAGGCTCCACTTTGATCAAAGACAGGTGCTTATTATCTTATGGGCTAATTAAGAATTTTAAGTCAAACAACACATACAACAACAATGAAACCATGTATACGTTTGGTAAAATGTCAAAAATGTCTTACGTAGTATACGTAGAGTCTTCTGAAGGATTCGTGTGTCTTCACGAAGCGCAAAAACACCTACGGGTGGCAGCATGGAACCGGAAGTCGCCTGAAATACTGATCTTTAGACAAATGAAGAAGAAGGCTAAGGCATATTTTGAGTTAGCTCGTTAGCTAGCTATCTATGTGGCTTGCAGTTTTGGATTGAAATATAGACGTAAAAATGATTTCCGAAACCGAATATTATCACGCCGAGAGTCGTAGTGACATGTGTTTTTATTACACTTTTCCAGTCTGTCATAAACTTGACTGGGCTTAAAATTGTTGGATGAATCGACTGAATTAAAAGCTAAAGGGCCGTTAGACCGCGGTGCTTGGGTGAACGGCAACCGCCGGGGATTTCAGCTAACTTACAAGAGGAATAACAAGACAGTGGCTGCAAGTTCGTAACAGTTCGCGGCACTAACACTTCTCCTGAATATGTCACAAACAGGACCTCCACCCAGATGGCGGAACTGTCCCAGAAGAGGACAGCCCGTGGCAGGTTAGCATAACAAACTATATCCTAGTGGCATGTTTTATTAACGGACTTAACGTATGCAGCTGTGCCGTTGTCAAACGCTGTTCACCATACATAAACAGAACTTTTACTAAAAGTGTCCCCACCATGAATTTAGCAACGTTTTTAAAATGATAATTCCTGCAACTTACCGTTTCCATTACTGCTTGAGTTAAATAATGTAGCAGTAGCGGCTAACAATTCTAAAAAATCGTATGTATTTTTGATCGGTGCGAAGCAGAAGTTCGTCAAATTCAAATTCCGATTTTTCTTGTAACCGTAGATATTATTTTTTAAACAGCTGTTTACGTTTGTTATTGTTGGCTATAGTTTTGTAAAGTTTGTTGTGCTAGTATGCAACGAGGTAGTTATCCTTTCATGTCTGAGTCCATGCAGAGCTATTAAATAAAACTATTTTTTAATAAGGAAATAATCTTGTTTTTACATGAATAAAAGCGAAATTTATTGATGTAATGTTTGTCCCTCTTTACCCATGAGATAAAAAATAGTAAAAGTGTTAGCTGAGTCTGTAAGCTTCATAGTGGAAGGATCACGTGTCAAAACAAACCGGGGCCAGAGGTGTGTTGTATGTGACGCAGATAGAACGTATTCTGTTACATAACACTGACCGTTTACGTGGCTCCAAACAGTTCTCTGGTCCACATCTTTGCAATTGATTGAATAAGTGATTTTACAAGTTTATGACATATAACCTAAATAAAAAATGTATATACGTGGGTCCATTTTGAAACAGGTTTAATAGTACACATTATATAAAAACCTTTCTAATTTATCAGCCAGTAGCATTTTAATTTTGGTTTTAGTTCCAGCATTGACGCTTGACTTCTTAGTTTCTAGATATTATTTAATATTATATAAAGATGTTGTTATGTCCTGCTAAATACTGATAGATCTGGAGTATAGTTATCGCATTAGTATCGCATTTCCAGTTAAAATCTGTAAATACATGACGTATATGTAAAAACATGATCAACTGCAGCTGTCTTTGTTAAAGTTTTTTACATTTTATTTGCATCTACGCTTATTCTTGTGTTTCCCAAACATAGGTAAATTCCTGCCAATGAAAACAATGTTGGACGAGACCTACGATGACCAAGTTGTAGCTGAGCACAGGTTTCACCCGAGCATGTTGTTCAACTACTTGAGAAGTCTTAAAGTAAGTCATTTATTGTCTTGGATTAAAATTTTTAAGTCAAAGTTCTGACACTGTGAATGCAATAATACGCCTTATTTTTTGTCTTTGTCCAGGTTAAATTGGGTTTGCTGGTGGATTTGACCAACACTAAACGCTTTTATAACCCCAACAACCTGGAAAAAGAAGGCATCAAATATATGAAACTCCCATGTAAAGGGTATGGATATTAATGGAAATGTATAATAAGTCAGTGGTGAGGCACTGTGTTCTATAACAAGTGTCTTTTTTTCCAGCCACAAAGAATGTCCTTCCAAAGACACGACAGCGTCGTTCATCCGATTATGTGAACATTTCATGGCGAAGAATCCAACAGAATTGATAGGTAAGGAAACCTGGAACCGACCAGTTATATTAATTTTTTTGCAGTATTACCCAGGATGACCAGTAGAGAGCAGATATGATCCACGATTGGTAGAACTTAAAGCGCAGTAATGGGTCGTTAAATATATTAAAAAAAAACCCACACTTCTTGACCTTAAGTTAATTTCTTAAACTTCACACAGATGCATCCGAATCAACCTTTGCTGAATGTAGTGTGACTGATGGATGAGAAAGGCTCTCTATCCAACACTTTTTAAAGAGAACAGTGTTGTGTACATCATTAGATTTTCATTACATAAGCATGTAGGAGTTTCACATTAGAAACAACACTTAACTCCAGCTGAGAAGTGTGTAGGTGATGGGTAGGTGAAAGGGCATCAACATGCACGCAGACTCAAACCTGGTGTGGGCAGAGTTTCTCCACGTCTAATCCAACTGTATGGTGTAAGTAGTAGTGTCAGGTAAACTGTGTATCTTTGCTCATTTGGTTGTTCTTTTTTATTGTTTCATCTAGGGCAGTCAAGCCATTAGAGCTTTTAAACTGTTTAATCACATGTCAGTTTTGGATTTATCACAATTAATCACGATTTTTTTGATACACATCAACATTCAGTTGTTTGACAAATAAACATTTTCTTCTGTATATTGCTGGAACAGAAAGATAAATAACACCAGTAAGATGTATGTGTTTCATACATCAGTTTTAAATCCTGAATAATGCAAATGATGTAATTATTACTCTGGAGAAATGTCAAGGAAAACGTGAAAAAGTGTATTGTAACTCAAAGAGTTGGTGAGTTTTGGTCATTTCTGTGCATCTTCACGGTGTCTCGTTGACGGCTCTAAAAGTTCCTTTCAATACTTCAGTGAAGCCGTCTCTGTCGATTGCACTTTCACTCTACTGACAGCAGGGTGCTCTGTAATCACGCAGTAGATCCTGTGATCCCGTCTGGTTCTGCTCTGTCTTCCAGTGTGTAATTGTCATTTCAACCGACCCTCATCCTCATCCAAGTGCTGTTGTTTTCTCTTTGTTGTCTCTGTGGTCCACATGTGTAAATTGGACAGTGGTGCTGTTTAAACAGTTCCTTGTCCTCTCCACACTGGGGTCATTTTATCTTCATTAATGATGCTGTTACCAGGCAAAACCTGCTGTGTGGGCTAAAATAAAGAGATTCAACTGGTTTGGAGTTGGTGCTGTTGTTGACACCAAAATAGACAACACTGGAGTTTTTATTTGCTTTTTCTATGCACTATCCTCACTTAACCTAACTGCGTTTGAGTCACTGTTGGATTTTTGTTTTGATCTTCAATTGTTGGAAAAAAGACACTGAACTCTTCAAATCCTGCTATTTATACACACCCTGTTGGAAAAGAGTTGTTATTTTTAACCTAACATTTACTACAGATACAACAAAGATGAGTGTTTTTTTTCATTCTCATATTGTCTTATGTTTCTTCCCTTATAAAGGGGTTCACTGCACACACGGCTTCAACAGGACAGGATTCCTGATATCTGCATACCTGGTGGAGAAGATGGACTGGAGGTAAGGAGAATGGACTTTACCTGATATTGTTTGAATCAATAAAAGCCGATGTCTCAGCAGCCACTCACACTGATGGGATGGACTTGTAGTGACTTGGTTGGAACTGGTCTCCAGCATTGTTGCTTATCTCCACACGGTGGAGTGGTAGTCACCTTTTACCTTAGAGTAAAATTTCATTTGTTTTTTGTGTACACACAAAATTGAAGTTTGCCAATGTGGATTTTTTTTCTCCCGATATTCTGGTCAACACCTCCATCAGCAAATGACGTCTTGGATTTTCACCAGCGCCCCTGCACCCTTGCCTGAGAATGAATAAATGAATAAATGAACAACACGGCTCCTTGCCCTGTAACAACAGAGGAGTTTGAATAATTGGACAGAGCTGAGCAGAGGTGGGGCCGGGGTGGGGATTAGATTTTAGTAAGAGGTGGAGCAGCTGTTGGAGGAAGCAGAATCCCTAGAAGCAGTGGACTGGATAAAAGGAAAAAAAACAGCCTCCCACCACTTCCTGTGTAATGGATATTAGGAGCACATTTACAGCCCTGTGGTGAAAGATAACTGAGGATCAAGACGGCTGGGTTTGTGTGAGAGGTGTTTTATGAAAGTGTTTAAAATACCTAAAAAATTAGGAAAAAAATCAAAATATCAAAAATGGTTTTAGTATATGTTATTTTGTAATTAATTAGAAGATACAAATTTATATTTAGTTGCTTAGTCAAACTGATAAAAAGATCCTTCTGTTTATCAACCAACATCTTCTGGTGTTATCATAGCTCATAGGTTTAATACCTTACACTTGGTAAGTGCTTAACCATTTGGCTATCTTTGCTGAGGTCAGCTTCCTTTTGGTAGCTGTGCTTCTGATGATGGCCGGCATTTTCCGTAAATTTTTTAGATTAGCCCCCTTCCACTCCCAGTCTGAGGAAATCTTTTGATAAACTGAAACATTTTTTCTTCACATTTTCTGCGAATTTTGTTTAAAGAAACATCACTTCCCATCAATATATGTTAATTCATTATGAATTATTTTTTAATTTCTTTTCAGCATCGAAGCGGCTGTGGCAGCATTTGCCAACGCCCGAGCTCCAGGGATTTACAAGGGAGACTACCTCAAAGAGCTTTTCCGTCGTTATGGAGATGAGGAGGACACACCCCCAGCCCCTGAACTGCCCGACTGGTGCTTCGAAGATGGAGATGGGGACGACGGAGATGACGATGACGGCAATGCAGTCGGCCCGCAGTCGGGCCCCAGCTCTTCTGGGTCTGGGCCCGGGAAACGAAAGAAGGAGAAGTTGAAACTGGTGAGACTTTCAGAAAATATCTGGGGGTCTCTGCAGGGGCGTCTGTCTATCTATCTATCTACATTGAGTCAATGCTAATATTCAAGCTTGAATAATTCAATATATTCAATTATGCAAGCTCCATTTTTATAAAATCTAAATTAAAAAGAAACTTAAAGTTCTATAAACGCAGAGATCCAAAGATCCAAGAAGCAGCTGTTTTAAAGACTGTGTGGATGTGTTTTTCTTGTGTGTGTAGGCAGACATGTTTTTCACTCCTTGGTTCAAGTGTCAGATTTCTTTTCTCATTTTCTCCCAGGGTGCAGTGTTCCTTGAAGGCATCTCAGTGAAAGGTGTCACACAGGTCATGACGCAACCCAAACTTGGCGAGATCCAACGAATGTGTCAGGAGATGAGCGGCTGGGATAGGTAACACTTGAATCTCCCTTCAGGGAAACCCGGTGTACAGCAAGTACACATGCTGTACGTGGGTGTAGTGTTCTGAGTTGTGATGTGACCTAAATCTTCATCATCCTGACACTGATAAGGACACTTCTGAAATATAGCTGTGGATTTATGGAAATGTGTTCCTTTTTTATCTCTGTTTTATTATCTTTGTGTTTTTATTATGTGTAATTAGTTTAGGTTGCAATCATCTTGTCACTGTATTTAGGCCAAAATTTTATTAGAAATTTGTTTCTAAAGAGTTACTGTAGTTTGGCCTTGGCCAGTCATCAGTTGATAAATCATGAAATATTTATTCAGCCAGGGAGGGAATGTGTTGACACTGCTGCCAGGCTGCTCAGTGACCCTAAGACTACGTACTGATTACCAGGCAGTAATGTCTAATATTTTGATATTTATTTATTTTTTACAGGACTGCTTGGGCCTAAGACACAGTCTCTTAGTTTTGGTCTTAAATCTGATCAGCGTCATTCTAGAATGTATTCCCAAATCAGATGAACCCAATAAACCTGGTGAATTATGAATTTAGTTGGGTCAGATATTCCACCGGAGAAATTCAGTTAATCAAACTGTTTATCCATTAAGACACATTGTCATCACAAACCCTACCTGCCAGAGCTTCAATGTCAAACAACGAATATTAGTCATTTTCTTTGAACTCAAGGCCAACTGTGGGTTGTTATCTTCACTGTTTCAGGTCTGGTTTTCCTGGTGCTCAGCCCGTGTCCATGGACAGGCAAAACCTACGCTTCCTCGAGCAGAGTCCATACAAAGTCAGCTGGAAAGCTGACGGCACACGGTACGATCTGCTCCTCACTTTCCATTCCTACAACTTAACTTCTTATCCAAACACGTCAATACCTGTATCGCTCTGTGTGGTCCTGAGCGATTGGTTTCCCTTTTCTTTAATTAGGCTGCTCTTCCCAGTCAGTATGGAGGGCTTGTGTCCATGGGAGTTGGCTGTGGCGCTTGCATGCATCACAGGTGTCAATTTGTTTCCTTGGCTCGTTGGTGAGCAACTGAATACTAACAAGTTTAATCAGAGCATTGGTTTTAATTATCCTTTTAAAGGTGATTAGCCTGAGCAGTCGTTCCATGCTGGTTCAAATACAAAGTGAAAGAGTAAATTGGCACCGAGGACAAAGGAAAAAGATTTTGTTTTCTCTGTCATTTGTGATTTCACTTCTCTGTTTCTGTAGCCAAGAGCTATTGTTAAGGGAAAAGAGAGTTTTTAGTATTCCAGTCTACTATCTCCTTCCTTCTGTCTGACTCTCTCTCTCGTTCTCTCTCTCTCTCTCTCTCTCCGTGTCTGTCTCCCTTTCTCTTGCTAGTGCAAATTTGCAGTTTGCTGTTGAATATTTAATGAATGCAGTCAATTTCAGAATTTTACATATCGCCGCCTAAATGTCCTCGTCTAAAGGTGTAGACGGGCTCAGCAACATCCAAGGTCCTGCTGATGGGTGTAATTAGCTGTGCCAGTCGAAAAGATGTTGTCCTAAAGTTTCACTCTTAAAAGTTAAACTGAATTCTTTTTCTTCTTTATCTTCTCATTGTCTCAGGCTTGTCCTTTATACTTTGCTCTTTAGCAACCTAAGGCTGGAGTCTGCAGTCATTAAAAACTGACAGTGCAGTTCATATGAGTCATCCATCAAACTGGGCCGCACTAGGTGTAGAATACAAGTCGTAACCTACGAACAATTCGTACAGTAGGTTGTCACCTAATTACTTGTTTTTTCTGCATTACTTTGGTTGCAGTCTGAGTCGTTGAGGTGAACTTTGCCTCGTCTTGTCAGAGGGGGTGTGTATTTTCCTGACTCCTAAAGGTGTCTTGACTCTGAGCTGCAAAAAGTAGAAAGAGTTTCTTATCCTCCCCCAGCATATTTAAACAGTGGACCATGGACGCTGACAACTTCATTTGTTTTTCTCCTGTCAGTCAGCGTCACTCCCTCTGTTCCCATCTTGCCTTTTTTTTTGCATTCTACTTGCTCCATGCAGGGTAATAAGCTTGCGCCCTCAGTTGAGGTAAAATGGCGTTCATGTGTATAAAGTGAATGGTCTTTATTCTGTCTGAGGGACAACATGTTCTCATGCTCCTGGCAAGATATTTCTGAGTGAGATTGACTATTGATGTTCCATTCAGCCCAAGACAAAAGGAATAGCTTTTTTCTTTAAAGCCCGCTGCCTTATTAGTGCCTTTTGTGAAATGCCATTCTTTTTAATTTATACAAAAAAATAACCATCGCCTTCTCTCAGAAGTTTTTCTTTTGTGTAAGATTTGAGTTGCACAGTAGAAACAGTGAACTGTTTCCTTTATGGAGCTTTAAAAAAAGGTGATTAAAACTTCCAAAATGTTTTGCTCCTGTGTAAATACTCATCACATCATCATGTGAAGTTAACTCACAGGACATAGATGACTTTTGTAATAAAAGTCCATCCAAGCCAGTGGCAGTTTTTTTTTTCTCTTCATTTATCGGAGTAATGTCTATCCCTCTGGCTTTTCCCTTATTGTTCTGGTGAAGTGAGATTAGAATGAATTGGTTCCTTTTCCAAGGACGTTTTAATGACAGAGTTTCTTCTCCAATTCCAAAGGCAGGATGTCTAAAGCCCCTCCTGTCTGTTCAGGTGTCACTCTTTGTGAAAATGTAACAGGCAACAATAGTGTCACAATATGAACAGTTTTTTTTTTGTTTTTTTTTTTTACGGGGAGCTCATTATAAATTATACAAATTTAAGTGGTGACTTTTTTC